GGTGATTGGGGCAGTAGCTGCCGCTCACACTTGCTGCTGGCACTGGCCCCAATCGCTCCGCACCTTCAGAGGGTGTGAGCAGGGCCAGTGTCAGTGCATGAGAGCAGCAGCAGCAAGAGCAAGGCTGCTGGCAGACAGGGGGCTGGAGGCCATGGCGGGAGTGGCTGGGTGGGGACACAGAGGTTGAGCCAAGACCCTCCTCTGTGCCTACTGCAGCCTCGTGGCCCACAGTTCCTTTCAAGGTGCACGAATTTGTGCACTGGTCCCCTAGTTAGCTTCATAAAATGAATTGGCATATGTTCCTTCCTTTTATCTGGAAAATAATGTATAAAATTGTGTTGTTATTATTTAAGTATAGATAGAATTTTACAGTGAAAACGTATTGACCTGGAAGGTCCTTTTTTGGAGTTTTTAAATTATAAATTCAATTTCCTTAATAGTTAGAACTATTCAAATTATTTATACCATATTGGATGAACTGTGGTAATTTGTATTTTCAATCAATGGGTCCATTTCTCCAAGTTGTCAAATTTAAGTGTGTAGACTTGTTTATAGTAGTTCCTTATTATCCTTTAGAATAGTGGTTCTCAATCTTCCTAATGCCGCAACCCTTTAATACAGTACCTCATGTTGTGCTGACCCCCAACCATAAAATTATTTTCGTTGCTACTTCATAACTGTAATTTTGCTACTGTTATGAATCGTAATGTAAATATCTGATAGGCAGGATGTATTTAGGTGACCCTTGTGAAAGGGTCGTTAGACCCCCAAAGGGGTCACAACCCACAGGTTGAGAACTGCTACTTTAGAAGATGTTTGCAAGATCTGTAGCCATCTCATCTTTTATTCTTAATATTGGTAACTGTGTCTTCTCCCCCCCTTTTTTTTTGTCAGTCCTGCTAAAGGTTTGCTGATTTCAAAGGAACAGCTCTTTGTTTTATTGATTTCCTGTATTATTTTTCTGTTTGTTTTTTTAAATCTTTGTTACTAGAGGCCCGGTGCACAAAATTTGTGCGTGAGGGTGTGTGTCCCTCAGCCTGGCCTGCACCCTCTCCAATCTGGGACCCCTCGGGGAACATCCCTCTCACAATTTGGGACTGCTGGCTCCTAACCGTTCGCCTGCCTGCCTGATTGCCCCTAACCACTTCTGCCTGCCAGCCTGATCACCCCTAACCACTCCCCTGCTGGCCTGATTGACGCCTAACTGCTCCCCTGCCGACCTGATTGCCCCCAACTGCCCTCCCTTGCTGGCCCAATCACTCCCAACTGCCCTGCCCTACAGTCCTGGTCACCCCAACACCCTCACCTGCTGGCCTGATGGCCCCCAACTTCCCTCCCCTGCCGGCCTGGTCGTCCCCAACTGCCCTCCTTTGCAGGCCTGGTCGCTCCCAGCTGCCCTCCCCTGCTGGCCTGATGGCCCCCAACTGCCCTCCCCTGCTGGCCTGGTCGTCCCCAACTGCCCTCCTTTGCAGGCCTGGTCACCCCCAGCTGCCCTCCCCTGCTGGCCTGGTCACTCCCAACTGCCCTCCCCTGCTGGCCTGGTTGCCCCCAAATGCCCTCCCCTGCCGGCCTGATCTCACCCCCAACTGCCCTCCCCTGCCAGCCTGGTTGCCCCCAACTGCCCTCCCCTGCTGGCCATCTTGTGACAGCCACCTTGTGACAGCCACCTTGTGACAGCCATCTTGTGGCAGCCATCTTGTGATGACATCATGTGACGCCACCTAGGCTTTTATTATATAGGATATTATCTCATCTGCTGGCTGTTTATCTTCACAAAGATAAACAAAATTAATAAACCTTCAGCTAGATTGACCAAGAAAAAAATAGAGACGATTCAAATAAAGAAATGAAAGAGAGACATTACTACTGGTCTTCCAGCAATAAAAAGAATTATAAGCAAATACTTTGAACAACTGTATGCCAACAAGTTACATAATTTAGATGAAAGGCAAAAAAAATCCTTAGAAAACACTAATTTGTACATGTTAAACAGGTGAATTATATGGTATCTGAATTGTATCTCAATAAAGCTGTTTTTAAGTGTGTGGTCTTAAAGTGTCTAAATTCAAAAGAGTGCTTAAATGCATAAGTTACATGTACATTGCTAAGAAAATAGACTGAAATCCAAGAGAAAATAGAGACTCAGATTTCTATATTAATGCATCCATATGTGGGGCAATTGAGGATAGTAACTTCCCAATGGCTTTGGTCATCAGCCTCCAAGAAGCCCCTAATGATTCTTGTCTTCTGGTATTCACACTGTTTTGTGGTGCCCTCTCAAATTGTACTAGGGTTGGTCTGTGTGACCAACAGAATATGGTAGAAATGATGGCATGTCACTTCCATGATTTCATTAGCTTTTCAGAATTTATTTGCTCAGAATAATCAAACAGTAAGGTGAAAGACTGAAAGAAGATGAAAGAAGGGAAGTCCAAATATCAAAATGCAGTTTACTTCTATCCAATTAAAGTGTAAAAACCAATAAGTTAATCAGGAGGCCTAATGTTTTTCAGCATTTTTCACTAAGAGCCATTTGAAAGGCTTTAGCCTATAAATTCCATCCAATAAATTACAATTGGTATGTGGAAACCAATATAATGAAAGAGAAGAACTAGCTCCTACTATTAAACATGCATGCTTATGTTGATAAAATCATTGAGTCGCCTTGTATAGTCCAAGACTGATAGACCTATTATAATAGGTGGAGAAATTGGACTTTTAATGATACACTTTTTCAAGAAAGCAAGTTGCAAGGAGTTGGATAATTTGGGAGGCATATTAACTTAGAGGGAGGAAAATGTCCTCTCCCTTCTCCTTTGTCCCACCCAACTGCATTTTCTCAGTGATCTTACTACATGAAAGCTAAACAAACATAGTAATTCAGAGGTGTAACAGTATTAATGTCAATGACCATAATAATGCACAATTAAAGTATTTAACTCATCAAAGGAGTTCCTACTAAAGAAATGGCCCAAGAAAGGTGTGGTCTGCACAATCTGAGTTATCATATGAATTTTTTTTACATGTTTGGTATCATGTGGACTCACCTAAAGCCAGTGAGCTTCTGAAAACCACTATTTGCTTTTCACTATTTGCTCACCTTGAAGTACATGACCCAGTAATAGTGAATAAAGCCTGAGTAATGGATGGCCACAGTGAATTCCTTTCTAATGGACATTGGTGATGCAGAATAAAGGTAGATTCATTATTTAATTCATCTAATAACTATTTATGAGCACTTGGTATCATGGATATATCTCTAATTTTGATTTTTTTTTTTTTTTGTAAATCCTCACCCAAGGATATTTTTCCATTAAGTTTTAGAGAGAGTAGAAGGGGGAGAGACGCAGAAAGAAACATCAATGTGAGAGAGACACACCAATTGGTTGCCTCTCATACCACCCTGACAGAGAGAGGTCAGGGATCAAGCCTGCAACCAAGGTATGTACCCTTGATGGAATTGAACCAGGGACCCTTCAGTTCAAGGTCCAACATTATCCACTGAGCCAAATCAGCCAGGGCAATTTTGGCCCTTCTAATAGTTATTTCCAAATTTTAAAACATTATAAGATATACTTTTAGGAATTTTCTCTTAAAAAAATTTATCTTCATGATTATTAAGGACTTGGGTCTATTTACATTATAAAGAAGTCTTAACGCATTTTTTTTTCAAAAGGGGGAGTAATTAACTTTACATTTTGTAGTCATTTCATTCTGTAAAAAGCAGTTCATCTCTGTCCTCCAATGTAAATGAAAGACTTAAAAGATGGTCACTGGAAATAGTCACCCTTTCGTACAAACCGTTCTGAGTCTTACTTCTAAATTTAGAAAAAACACACATATATGTATTAGAAAATGTATTTCTAACGAGTAGGTTTAGTATTTTTCAAAGGGTACTTCTGCATACTGTATGTTATCCTATACTTTTCTATCAAGCACTAACTAGTTTTCAACTACATATTTATTTGAATGGTCATTGATTTAATGATGGTTTCAGAGATAGGAACCATACTCTTAAAATAACCACTGTATCCTTGATGCTTACACAAGTTTCTGGTACATAGTTGGTGTTCAAAAATTTTTGGTTAAATAGGTGAATGAATAAAATGCTATAAGAGTAGATAATGTTATGGAGAGTGATTTAAAAGGGTTTTTCATAATCTGGAATCAAGCCTGTTAAAAGCTTTTTAAATGAAGGTAAAAAATATAAATTCACTTAGGAAAGCCATTCCAAGTGTCTTCCTAGCGAGGTTGTGCCCTGCCTTTGGTTCTTAAACCTAAGCATGTGGATTCACATATGCAAACGACTTTGTTCTGTCCCTGAGGCAGCGTGAGGCAGGCTACAAAGTCCAAAACAGTGAGTCAACCTGTGTACTCTAACTCCACTGATTACCAGGCAGCTATTGGAATTATCACAAAGAAAACAGTAGTAGCACAGCCAGCTCTGGCTAACCCTGCATGGCTTCCTTCTGTTCATGACACCATACCACTCTTCCATAGAAATTCAACTACTAACTGAGACCAGCGCCCCCTACTCCAAGGCCTCTGGCATAGTAATAAAATTCCCATTATACGGGAAAGGCTGGGGATCTAGTGGATCATTAGCCATGGCCACAGAAGCTAAGGAATGGACGAGAGCTAGAAAAAAAGGAAAGGAAGTCTTGTATATAAGACATGACATAGAACTAAAGTAAAATCCATGGGCCATTTTCTTTTGGTATTAAATATTGGTAGCCCCATCCTCAAACCTATACACTGAAAAGTGGTTAAATTTGGATGATGCATTTAATGGGCAATTTCCAAATATGTTTTTTGTTAGGATGTCAAAACCTGGTAAGATAGGAGAACCTCAGGGCAGAGTAATTTGTAGAAATGTGGGTAAATTTATGTTTCTGTGTACTCTATATTAGATACCATTCCAGCTCAGTCAATATGTTCCCTTTACACATTTTGAATTACAGTTTAAGATGTGAACAAAAAAGTAAAAAATAGCAGCCTACCCACAAGGCATTCCATTTGTCACGTTCTGGTTGAGGGAGCTGTTGGTCCACACGATGGTGTTGTTTACACATGCTTTTCCAGGGATCTGGAGTTCTTGTAATTCAGTTTCGTAGTCAATAAAAACATCTGTCATGGTGCCAAAAATGAGTAGCACGCCTGGATGGGCTAGTCCATGGAGAAATGCACATAAACCTCCCACAAACATCAGCCAAATGTCAGTCGTTGAAGAAAATCGAAACTTGAAAAACAAAGGATTCAGAGGTCATCTATGGGTGAAAGCAGGAGAGGTAGGAGGACTATTTAATTTTAGTTACTAGATTCTGATAAATAGTATTCAACACCAAATTTTGTGGGATCATCATACTGAACAACAGAGTTCTCACTAATTACATAAAAATGAAGGGTATAGCAGTTACCTAAAACATTAGACTCTTACATTGTCAGTCCATGTTATTTCTTTCCTGATCTCTGAATTCACTTTCTTTATCTCAAGAGCTGACTTTATTAGTCTTATTACCAACTGAAAGAAGCCAACTTAGCTATTTGTCCACAACTTATGAGGGAAACAGTCACTGGCACGTATACCATTGCCATGTAGATATACTACGCAGGACATTCAGCAATAACATGCATTGGCTCCTAGAACTGATAATGGCAACGAAGAGTACCTGTTTGTGCCTAGAAATGCCTCCGCCATGAATAATTTGGAGAAAATACTTACACTATTTCTAAAGTCTTGTCATACAAATAAATATGCACAATATGATTTCTGTGATGATTTTTCTTACTAAAATGATCATTATAAACTTAGTGATTATTTTCCAGGACACTTTTCTGATCTACTGAGTAAGATTCGTGTGTTTAATCAGTAATACATTTCTAATTGCTAGTCAGCATGTTATCACATAGACAACGTTTATAACTGAAAAGGTAATCACTGTAGTTAAAAAACCTGCCAATATGACTAAAGATTTAACACTTCCTCCATGGTCTGAACGATTCATAGTTACAAAGCCTATGTCATAAGTCTGCACAGTCTTATTACCAATTGAAAGAAGCCAACTGGACTGCTGTCACCTTTCTTCTCATTTTGTAACCTGAAGAGAGAAAATAGGGATTTACAGACCATCCTTCCCAAATAATGAGAAATTCTCCCTAGGTTGTGATTCAATGAGTCATTTTTTAGCAAGAAAAAAAGCTCCCTCTGGTTGAGAAATTCTTCCCAAACCTGGTATCTTAAAAACAAGCTTTTATTCTTCAGATTTGCCTCTTATAGAGATTTCAGTATAGCTATATCTCATGTTCAGGAGAGATTCATGAATGTTTTTCGGAAGGCACTGAGAGAAAATAAAAAGTATTCCATACTCTCATTTATACTAATAAATAACTATTAGAGTTCAGCCTTAACCCCTGACCTATTTCTTTTTTTAAACATTTATTTATGTATTTATTTTTATTGTTGACAGTATTACAGATGTTCCCCATCTCCCCCCCCCCCCTCCGCCTACCCTTTTTTGCCCCACTCCACACAAGCCCCACCCCACCCCAGGCCTTCCCCACAATACTGTCTGTGTCCATGGGTTATGCATATATGAATATATCTTCTTTGGTTAATTTTTTCCCATTCCCTCCAACCCTCTTCCCACTGAAATCTGTTATTCTGTTCCACTGGACCTATTTTGTTTGTCAGTTTATTTTGTTCATTAGGTTCCACATATAAGTGAGATAATGTGGTATGGACCTATTTTCTTGTGGTTGGATTACCTGATTTAAAACTTCCTTCTAGCACTTAAAACATTTTACAACTACATTAAATAGTGTTGATGTGATGAAAAGTTTCCCTTAAACTCCCATATTTCCCATTAAATCATATTTCCTTAGTATTTCTTATTCATTTTATTTCTCAGAAAGTTATACTTAACCCATCTTTGACCTTCTCACTCCAAGGAACTCTTCTTCAGCTGAGTCATTCATTCATGGATACACCCTGGACCTTGCCTTCACCAGGAACTACTCTACTCCATCGCATACTGGGACAGCCCAGGCATCTTGTTTCCTCACTTCCTTCTCCCTTCCACAACTATTTGTCATCTCACGTGAGACATGCAGTCCCTTAAACCCTCCATTTACTTCTAATTAATTGCTAAACCTCATACAGATTTTGCTTCTTCCCCATGCATTCCCAGGTCCCACTGCCTGCCAGCTGAACCACACTCTCAACATCATCCTCAATCATCTCCCCCAAAACCCTCCTTGGAAACTTCATCCCTCCATCCATCCAGCATGTTTGCCATCTTCTCCTGAAGCCAGGCTGCTGGGCTGGCTGGAGACAAGATCTCCACCATGTGAACTGATACCAACATTTCATGCCATGCCTAGCATTTGGTTACCCTGAGTTTCCCTTCCAGCTCAGAGTAGAATCCCAAGTCCTTGGTGAAACATTCAAGGCCCTCCATGGTCTGGCCAACTGGTTCTCTGACCTTGTCTCCTCTTATTGCATGCCAGGTCTTGTCAGCTGAGCCCTCTGGCCTCTTTACTGACCTTTGTCCACACCAAGTTTGTTTCCTCCTCTGGGCATTTGCACTTGCAATTTTCTCCCCCCAGAATGTGGTTTTATCTACTTGGTCAATTCTCTCTCCTCCTTCAGACCTTCCCTCATAAGTTACCTTCTCTCTCAATGGGGCCTTTTCTGGACAAAGTTGGTAAAATTTCAACTTTCCCCCACATCATTTCATAACTCCATTCCATGTTTACTTTTTCCTTTGTAGAAAGAAACTGATAGATTATCACTAGCTACCATGCTACATATTTTACTTACTTACGGTGTTTATGATATCTCCCTCACTAAGATGTAAGTTGAAATCTCCTCAAGGGCAGAATTTTTTGCCCAATTTGTTCTTTTCTGTACCTTAGCACTAATTTTAATGCCTGACATCTAGTAGGCACTCAAAATTTGTGAAATGAATGAATGAGAATGGTCTCCAACCTTAGCTCATGTACTTTATCCCTCTAGAGATTGCTCCTGTTCCCCCCAGCAGCTTTATCAAACTTTCACTCTTATATTCTCATTCTACATTATTACATCTCCTCTAAAAACCAAAGAAGAAAAAAAGGGAAAGAAAGAGAGAAAAACTTATAGACACCAACAATAGAGTGGTGATTGCCAGAGGGATGAAGGAAGGAGAAGGAGGGCATAGGGGGGCATAAATGGTGATGGACAAAACTTTACTTGGGGTAGTGAACACACAGTATGGTATATACTAATAGATGTGTTATGGAATTGTGCACCTGAAACCTGTATAATTCTATTAACCAGGTCATCCCAATAAATTTAATTTTAAAAAGAGTAAACTGAAAAAAATGTATAAATAAAAATAGAAAACAAAGAATTCATTCAAACTTCCTGGTCATTCTCTCATTGGTTTTCAGCACATTCACACCCATTTTCATCTCTTTCCCACCCAGTGTGGTTCTTCTAGGCCCAGGCTAGTCCTACCACTCCTAGTCCAAGTAATGTTACCACACCCAACACCTCCCTCTGCCATGAATTACTTACTTAAAATTTCTTAAATACCTTCAACCTCTCCCTTCCTACCACCTCTATTTCAGAAACTTGCCTGGCACCTCCCAAATGTCTTCTAAATTAGACTCCATCTAATTTTACCATCATGCCAATGTATAATTAACTAAAATTTATTTTATATGAGAATTTAAACTCTTAAACTAAAGAGGAATATGTAACAATTAAGTTTTAGGTATCTGCTATTTGCTTGTGGAAGAATTTGGGCTTGGGAACCTCCCCTGTACTCACAAAATCATACTTGTACACCTTTCCTACTGTTTAGGTTGGAAATTTTGTGCTTTTCCTGGATACACAGGGGAGATTTAGACCTAGTCTAGAAGGGATATTCCAAAAGGCTTTTGAAATCAAATTATAATAATGTTTTAAAAAGAAAAATAATGGATTATTTATACCATTTTATAGGAAGTGCAATGTACTTAAAAATATTTCCTCTGCTTTGTGCCTATCATAAGAATATTGTGAAGTTATTCTAGAAAAAAAATGCATTGTTGAAATAGTCACTTACCGTGAATTCTTCTCATTGTTATCTGTCAGAATAAAAACAATGCACAAGGCAGTTAATAATGACTATATGCAACATAATCATTAGAAAAGCACCATTCCTATAAATTATTTTTTACTCATGTAACATAGCAAAATGATTATTTGCTTTTTCTCCTTTTTTATTCTCTCTCTCTCTCTCTCTCTCTCTCTCTCTCTCTATATATATATATATATATATATATAATCTCGAAGATGTTCTTTCAGGATTAGGACTGCAGGCTTGATTACATCTCTGCATGACTTTTCTTCAGGATATGAAATATTTGTATCTTCTGAATATCAACTAGAGACCAACATTTCTAAACTAGATGAAGAAAATAGGATTTTTTGAACTACCAAATAAAAAGATATTTATTTATTATTTGGTTCTTTAGAAACATCAGAATTTACCCACTTAGAATTCACACCACAAATTACCCAGACTGTATAATGCTGTTGCCACCTGCATGCCAGTAGAAGCCATGGGATTGAGCTGCACATTACTTTCCCAGCACAGGTCAGAACAGATGGAGGGTAGGAAGCAAAAGGGTCTGAGTAGGGAAACCATAGGGAAAGGAACCAAAGGTGCTAACTAATGTCAATCATTACCATGGAGCAGCACATCCTGATCCTCCTGGCATGTTAATTTAATTTAATTTAATTTAATTTAATTTAATTTAATTTAATCAAGAGTTAACTGGAATTATATTATAGATAGAGATTAATATCTTAGGTTTGGGAATTAGACAGAACTGGGTTAGGATTATGAGTCATGTGATCTTTGCCAAGTTTTAAAAAGTGTATTCAAGTCTTAGTTTCTTGTCTTATAAAGTCATAAGATTGGTTTAAAACAATAAGACTTGCCCGACCGGCGTGGCTCAGTGGTTGAGCATGCACCTATGAACCAGGAGGTCATGGTTTGATTTCTGGTCAGGGCATATGCCCAAGTTGTGGACTCAATCCTCAGGAGGGGGCATGCAGGAGGCAGCTGATCAATGATTCTCATCATTGATGTTTTTGTCTCTCTCTCTCTCTCCCTTCCTCTCTCTGAAATCAATAAAAACACATTTCTTAAAAAATGATAAAACAGTAAAACTTGCTTAGAATCATCTGTGCTCACTACATGCTAGGTACTAGCCCTTTCCCATTCTTCCAGCACAGTCTTGGTGCAGTTCCTCTTGGGAAGCAGTGCTCACTGAATAATTACTGCTATAATTAATTATAACAATACATGAATAGAGGTAATCATCATAGCCAATGCTAGAACAACCCTACTCTGCCTAGGAAGCAGATGTTAATAGATACTTCCTTCACCCATACTTTATGCATCTTTACCTTAACACTTTCAGACATTCCATTACATGGATTCTAGGGGGAACCACCCATTTGTATGTGGGAAACATGTTCAGTGATAGTCCTAAATACTGCTGATGATTTGTCTCTGCCCCTTGAAGACTCACTAGTTTGCTCCTTTTTTGTTCTAAACTGTCGCTGTACAACAGGCAGTGAGAGAAGAGGGCCACTTACATGATCCATCTGACTCAAAACCATGATTCTCCTCTCCAAATTTCTTGACACTGCGAAGAATCACTGAGTCAGACATGGTAATTGCAATCTGCAGCCAGTAACCCTATAAAACAAAATAGAGGCATGATCTCTTTTTTAACCAAAGTACCAAATGTGCCTTCAGCCATTCTGTACATTAGGTTTCACATTAGGTTTGCTTACATTTTCCTTCTTTCTGAATGCAATGATTTTTGTGATCTCTATTTTCTATTAAAAAGTAATAGTCTCAGACAAAAATTTATGCACAGCATGGATTTCTATCCCCATAGCATCACCATGCCCTTTAGCCAAAACCACCAGGAATGCACCTGTAGTAGAAGAATCTGGATTTATTACTTGTTGTAGTGAGAAAGAACAGATTGTGGGGACTATGGGTGTCTCAGTAAGAGTGTTGTTAGGAATAACCAATTATAGGGCGTGAGCTTTAGTTAGATGATTTGGGAGAGAGTCCAATGAAGTGGGGGTTTGCTCCAGATTGGAAGCTGTCAGAACGCCAGAGTAATTTTATGGTTAGTTAAAGAAATGGTAGTCATTCATTTGGCAAGAGAGAGGGATGTTTGGTATTTTGTGGGTTTCACAGTGACCTTATTTTGTCCTGTTCTTAGACAAAATTATGAAGTGGGCGTGCTTTTTCTCATTTTATCTTCAGGCAAATAAATGACCTTGCCTGAGGTTGATGGGATGGTTAATTTTATGTGTCAATTTAAGTGGAGTAAGCGATACCTAATAGCCAATAAAACATTATTTCTGGGTGTGTCTGTGAGGGTGTTTCCAGAAGAGATTATCATTTGAATCTGTAGAAAATCTCCCTCACCAATGTAGATGGGCATCATTCATTCAATCCTTTGAGGGCTTGAACAGAACAAAAAAGAAGAGAAACTGAGGGTATAGAAACTGAATAGACATTTTTCCAAACCTACTTTTGACTTTATATATATATACTAGAGGCCCAGTGCACGGATTCAAGCACCAGTAAAGTCCCTCAGCCTGGCCTCCGGAAATTAGGCCGAAACTGGCTCTCTGACATCCTCCAAGGGGTCCCAGATTGTGAGAGGATGGTTCTCAGTTGATGCACCCCAGAATCAGGCTCCTTCCTCTCTGGTTCCAAGTGCATCACCCGAGAATGACAGGCCAGGTACGGAATATTTGTGGCTATTCTTTCCTTTTCTTGTTTCCTTTTTCAGCATTCAGTGCATCACTCTGAGCTTTGAAAGGCCACTGTTCCCTTTTGATATACCAAGGAGCCATCCTTCAAAAGATGTATATTCTCCATTGCAACAAGGCATGCATTGCATAACATTTGACTGTTGCTCAATAGAAATGGAGGCTAGATGCCTTATCTCTGGCCAGTTTAGAAATGGCAATGATGACTTTTGAAAGGCATTGTGCTGAAAATGTTAATTGCTTGCATGCACCCACAAAGACAGTGGCAATTTTTGTGACACCAAGTTTGGGAAAATGCAATGAGATAACAAAATTACTAGAAAGAATAAACAAGGCCTTGCTTGTGATATTTTCCAGAAAAGGCAATGTTTCCAAAATTAGATGTTACATGAATTGCTTCATCTATATATATAAAAAGCCAGCAACCGGAACGCCGGAATGACCGGAATAACCGGTCACTATGATGCCCACTGCAGCCAGTGAACTGGCCTGATTGGGGGATGGGGCCGGCGGCCAACCTCCTGCAGCCCCTCCCCCAAACTGGCCCCACCCCTGATCGGCCTCTCCCACCCCAATCGAGGGTGGGGAGGCCAGCCAAACACCCACAGCCCTTCCCCCTGGCCAGCCCCGGCCCCGATGGGCTTCCACCACCCTGATTGGTCTGCAGCCCCTCTCCCTGACTGGCCCGCCCCTGATTGCCCCCCTACCCCAATAGGGGGCAGGGCCAGCCAGCCAACCTCCTGCAGTCCCTCCCCCCACCTGGTCCCACCCCAGATCAGCCCCCACCCTGATCAGGGGCAGGGCTGGCTGGCCAACCTCCCATGGCCCCTCCCCCAGCTTCTGACCGCAATCAGCCCCCCCACCCCACTGCCCACAGCCCCTCCCCAAAGCCTCCCTACTCCCAATCAGCCACCCCACACCTAAATTGGGGGCAGGGCCCACCGGCCAATCGCCCGTGGCCCCTCCCCCAAGCTGGCCCATCCCTGATCAGGCCCCGATTGGGGGCAGCCAACCGCCCAATCTCCTGCTGTCTCCTCCTCCGGACAGGCCCAGCTCCGATCCACCTCATGACTCAGGCAGAGGAGGGCACATGAGGGCTTGGGGGCCCAGGTGCTGTCCAGGGCCCAGAGGTCAGCTGAGACCTACCCTTCCACACCAGATGCTCACGCTTCAATTGCCTGTCAGGCCTAGGGACCACACCAATGCACGAATTTTGTGCACCAGGCCTCTAATTTATAATAACAAAATTTCACTTTAACCAACACAAAAGAACTCAGTGTTAAAAAATATATAAGATACTATGCTCTTTCTTTTTCATTCTGAATTTTTATGTAGTCTCCTAAAAATCTCTGGGAACAAATTTCAGGGTCTTTCAGGAAAATGTATTTTTTAATAAATTTGAGAATATAGGAGTTAAAAGCAGGAAATCAAAATTTCTAAGCACTCATTGGCAAACTTTAGCCACCTAATCATGCAATCCCCCAAGAATTCTTAATTGTCCATGCCAACACCAGTGTTTCTCTTTGCTAAATGGCACGTACTCTATAACCTGTGTTCTACGTGTGCTTCTGTTTAACTATCCAGGCTTGAAGTTTTTAATTTCTTTGATAAAATGTGTAATCCTATCAACACAGAAGCCCACACTGAAGGACAGTCTTCTGACCTTTACTGGTAGACATCAGGAGTTTTCTACCTTAGCGAGGCAAGTTGACGGGGTAACCTTGGAGGATGTGTCTGGTTGTTTCCTTGGGACCTGGTAATCCTTAACATGAAGGACTTGGGATTCTATCCCAAGGACAAGGGGAACTAATAAAGGCTGTTAGGCAAAAGAAGGGTTTGATCACATTTATATATTCTTTTAAAAAAATTCAAACCTCTGATAAGGCTTGAGACTTGGGAATCCACACTAGAGAGAGATACAAGGGAACATGTTGGGAAGGTCAGAAATCCACCCAGATGAAGCAGCGGCTCCCCCTCATTTACTAAGGCCCGGAGTATATTATAGTTCAAATCACTCCCCGGCCTATGTGACTGAGGTCACCAAAGGAAACGGGCTGTGTGATGTGACACAGCCAAACCAATGGTGCCCAGGTTCTTGTCACTTTAGGGGATGGCTTCTTGACTCTGTCAGTGTTCAGGGTTTTGAATTTTTTGGGGGGGTCGGGGGAGAGATTTGTTCTGCTTCCCATTCCATTTTCTCTCAAATACTATCTTTAAAACATGTTGGTCTTGCCTAGACTGGATTCAGGAGGAAGAGACTGAGGATTTTCCACATCCAGACCAACATGGTAAGGGGGAACCCTGACAGCTACTGAGGAGCTGAGGGACAGCTAGGGGAGAGGATCAGCTCAGGAGTGGAGTGGCCCGCCCTGCCCCCAACATCACACAGTGAATACTCTCCTGACTCTTATGAAGTTGTTCCCTCTGTCCCTGAGCTCCACAAACTCTCCTTCCCTGAGCTGCTCAGAGAGAAAAACAGAACTGCTCCTGCTCCTCTTGAATTTAGAAGTCACTTTTGAAGCCACAAATTTTGATTTTTCTAAAAAGCCCTTGCCCTAGCAGGTTTGGCTAAGTGGATAGAACAGTGGTCGGCAAACTGCGGCCCCTTGAGTGTGGCTCTTCCACAAAATACCACGTGCGGGCATGCACGTACACTGCGATTGAAACTTTGTGGCCACACTCAAGGTGCCAAAAAGCCGCATGGGGCTCGCGAGCTGCAGTTTGCCGACCACTGGGATAGAACGTCTGCCCAGGGACTGAAGGGCCACAGGTTCAATTCTAGTCAAGGTCACGTACCTCAGTTCCAGGCTCGATCCCTGGACCCAGTCAGGCTTGTGCAGGAGGCAACTAATTGATGTGTTTCTCTAACATTGATGTTTCTCTATTTCTGCCACTCTAAAAATCAATAGAAAAATATCCTCTGGTGAGGATTAACCAAATAAATAAATAACTAGCCTTTAAAACATCTTTCACTGCTGCTATTGAGGAATGTAGGTAGGGCTCCTGTGTTATCATTAAACCTAGCAAAGGATTGATTTTTCCCAAGGATCATTAAAGAAGAGAAGAAGTATTAACTTATACTAAGAAGCAAGAAAAATGTTTTCTTTTATGTTGTGGGATGATGGTGTGTGTCAACAATGTGGGAGACACTGCCCCCTTATAGCCCAGAGGGGAAAGGAATACACAGGGACCCTCAAGGGACACACAAGCATCCTTCCTCCCCAGAGTCACAGCTGAGATGGAGGACTAAGGAATAGCTCCTGAAGAAAGTGGAATTTAACTGCGCAGTTACTCCCAGCTCTCCTTGGTCTCTCCATGCATAGTCCTTTCACCTTCACAGAGCAACATAGCACTCTAATACTTGATTCCTACAGTGGAACTTAGGCATTTTTTAGCAATTTCAGTGTCTTTTAAAACCAGAATGGGCAAATTTTTTTCCTAAATTACTTCCTAATTCACTCCCAGCATTCATCAGCAAATATTTGTCACCACTACTCTTAGTGGTGGGACTCAAATTATTCAAGAGGCTTACAATCAAGTGGGGGAGGGGTGTGTAAACAGTTAATCCTCAGCAGGGAGATGGAGGGTTCAGAGATCATTACAGAGTTACAGAGCCAGCCCAGGAGTAACTAAGTCTGGAGCTGAAGGGGGTTTGTGGGGGTAGGTTGACGGGTACCTGCACATAGAAAGAACCTCTATTAAACAAGAGCTTATACATAAGTCAATACTTTAAAAGTTTAATAATAATCATGATTAGATCCAAATATTTAGAGACTAAGGTACAATCATTTTAATGTGTCTCTAAAATGTCTAGAAAGCGAGTCCTCCCTCAGAACATTTAGAAATACCGCACTTAATTCCAGTCTTAAATGTGTATGATATTTTATCTATGCATTCAAATCATCAGCAACATGTAATTTCTACTAGCGAGGGAACCATAAAAACTAAAGTTAGATTCTAGAAACCAACTTTTCCCCCTTTAGCCAGGTATCCCAGAGCTCATATTTTTCAGTATCTAAATTATTAAAAACTGGGAGAATGAGGAAAGGAGCATGGTGTTGGAGAAAAAAAAGGTAAGTCGGTATAGTTCTTTATTAAACCAGCACCAGCTTTCTGGGGTAAGGATTTGTGGCTATCAGTACAAACAGAATTATGCTTTCATAAAGCCAAGTTAAGAAACTTCATTGGCATTTTTCATTTTTGGTAGATTATTCAATCTATTCACCCATTTGTACAACACATCCCCTCACACCACAGATTCTCAAGAGAATTGATTCATAAAATAGCATTGCTACAAATTAGGAGTCATCTGTATTGTATATAATATTATGAAATCATTCATTATTCTGCAAGTCATATTATTTATCGCATGACAAGAGGCCACCCTTCAGTAAATAAAAAACACAATGCCCCACACAGTGAGCTTTAGAGGAAATGAACTTGCAGAACATAGGCCTCAAATGCTGTAGAAATTGTAAGTCGCTTACCTGTGAACGTGAACTTGAGGAAGCCAGAAGAAACAATGAACTCCACTGTGGAGAGTCAAAGGGTTTTTCCAACTTCAGTGTTCATTATAAAGCATTCAACAGAATTCAAACTTTTTCGAGAACATTATCTATTTGCTTAAGGGTCAATGCCCTGAAGGCCAGCCTAAGCACAGTTCAGTGACATCTGAGAAAAGGTTGAACACGCTCAAAGTAATAACCCCAAACACAGAGTGTGCTGGGGAAATGCTCGGAGGGATCAACGGGCTGTGGAAAGTACTGATTTGCCTGGGAAAGAGAGGCGAGTTCTAACTCTTCTTTTCATAGAGCCTTATTTTTGAAAGGTTATTTAAAAACATAGTAAGGCAAAACAAAACAGCAACAAAATCTTTAAACTTTCCCCCTCAGTTTAGAAAGATTATTCTTGGAAAATCCCTGGGTTGCAGGTCCCCAGATTTTCCAGGAGACAGATAACCTAAAAGAACACCTAAAACAGCCTTTGCTCCGATGACCCTTGCACCTTGCCTGCCTGAATAGTCAATAACCTCAAGCCCTACCTCATCTACACACGCAGTCCTGTGTACCAGTAAGTAGATTCATGATTTTTTAAAGGTTCAAATGAACAGAAATGTAAGTCAAATAAACACATATAGCTTATCCAACGGTCTTGTGTTGCCCATATCTGTTCCTGTTCTTTTTTTTGTTAATCCTTACATTTTCTCAAAATGCTCTTATTTTTTTTAATCTCTCTTCCTGCCTGAGTTAACCCTTGCCTAAGCATGTTTTATTATGGCCTTCTGCGATGAATAACAGTCAACAGTGGTCAAGCCCTTGTTGGGTGCCTGGCTCAGTTGAAGTTTTATTTGTACTACCTTATTTAGGTGTTTCAATAACCCTAGACCAGTGGCCGGCAAACTGCAGCTCACGAGCCACATGCGGCTCTTTGGCCCCTTGAGTGTGGCTCTTCCACAAAATACCGACTTCTGTGCATGGGCCACGAAGTTTCAATCACACTGTATGTGCACGCCCGCATGTGGTATTTTGTGGAAGAGCCACACTCAAGGGGTCAAAGATCCGCATGTGACTCGCAAGCCACAGTTTGCCGACCACGGCCCTAGACATTCGATGCTATTATTGAGGAAACTGAAGCACAGAGAGGTTCAGTAATCCACCCAACGGCGTCTAATGAATAGGCCCAGAGCCTATGCTTCTGACCACCCTATGCTAACATTCCTCCGCCTGTGCTCTGAAATGCAGCCAGTGGGCCAGTGCTTCTGTTTGCAGAAAATCAGATCAATTTACACAATAAGGATACATTTTCTCAATTTAAAAGTTTTATTTAAAATTTAGCATCCAGACCAGCCGGTGTGGCTCAGTGGTTGAGCATCAACTATGAAGCAGAAGGTCATGGTTTGATTCCAAGTCGGGGCACATGTCCAGGTTCTGGGCTCAATCTCCAGTGAGGGGTGTGGTGGGAGGCAATTGACCAATGATTCTCTCTCATTGATATTTCTATTTCTCTCTCCCCTTCCTTTCCTCTCAAAAAAAAAAAAAGAAAAAAGAAAATTTAGCATCCCACTACTATTTGTCCCTACTGGAATGTAGATATATGATAGTTCATCATTTAGCCCCAAATTCTTTATATTTATATTTCAAAAGCTCAAGATACCAAGGTCAGCAAAGCAAAGGAAGATTTCTTTATGTTCCCTATCTGAGCTAGTTTGAGCAGTCCTGGAATGGAATGACTTGTGAGGTGACATAAATGTAATAATATCCTATTTGACACCAATTAAGACCCAGAAAAAAGAACTTTGCTTTATAAAACCAAAAAGAGAGCTGCAGGATTGTAGATGTGATTGGGAGAAAATTCTCAATAAAATTTTGCTATCTTTGTTATGGCAAAGTTATTGACAACAGTTGGTCTTAAAAGACACATTTTTCCTTTACCTGGGAAGGACAGCACAGCTATCCCAAGGTTAGAGGGCTCCAGTTAATATGTCAACTCAGTGTTCTGGAGACCCAAAACTGCCTAAGTGCCTAAGTTTAACCCAGGTCACTCAAGGGTTCTAGACCCAAAACTGTAATTTAGATAACATGCCTAAGTTTAACCTAGGTCACCAAGGACTCTAGATAATGTGTTCACCCAAAAAACTGTAATTTAGATAGCATACTGTCTCTGCTTCTGTAAATTTCTTTTTTTTTTAAACTAGGTTCCTCATTCCAAACCTTGAATTTAAAATTTAAGTTGTCATGACCTAGAGCAAAGAATATTCTTACATGGTATTATTCTACAAAGTTTTATTAATTTTTGATGCTTTACAACAGTATATTGTGCATTTACCCCAAACAAACTTACAAATTAATATTTACTTTGAATGTTTTAAGAATATGAAGGGATTTATTCCCTCCTGGGAAGGCACTTAAGCATTCTGTATTGACCTCTCTTGACCTTTTTTTTTGCCAAAAGGATTCCAATTGTCTACAGCTGTTATCTAGGCTCTCCGTTCAAGCTGAGATCATGAAAAGCTGGTACCATGGATCTGTCTCTTGCCCAATGGCGTAAGCTGGGCCCTCTCTGGAGAAGAAACCTGGGTTCCCTATGATCAATGCCGGGACCCCGCCAACAGGCGAGGGATCCAAAGGCAGTTGTTGGGCATGGAGGCCAGAGGGACATAGGCTACCAAGGAGACAGAACTGAACCTCACGTCACCCTACTTGGCCCAGAGATGGCTGGTAGTCAAAGACGGGTAAGACCCCACAGGGTGGGGCGACCTAAGACAGGCACTGTCGGCGGCCAGTAGGAGAGAACTTGGGGATCAACAGAGGTGGGGCACAGATCCTCACCCCCCCAATGGTGCAGGGGCTTGAACACTCACCCCTTCTGAGGAAGGTCTTCTGTACCCATGGCTGATCTTGCTTTCCATGCCCAGCCCAGATCAGGAACCAAATAACAAAAGAGATTTGGTCCAGCTGAAATCAGAATCCAGATAAACGGAGGCTTGGCTAACAGACCCTATGTCTAAATCTAGCCTAACAACAGGAATGCTTGGGCCTCCTCAAGGACGTAAAGTGATCCTTTCAATTAATATTTACAGTGTAAATTAAGATAATTGTTAAAATATTAAATTTGACAGTAACATAGTTGTCAAGTTTTCAAATTAAATTTGGCTAACTTGAAAGAAGTAATTATTCAAAGAGTATTAACTAAAATTTTCATTTCGTGGTAAACATGCTATGAACCTAAAGCATCTTCAGGTTCATTTTTTTGTGTGCAAAAAATTAATATTTAAAGCTATCTAGACTGCATTATAAAATTTCCAAGGAGCCTCCTAATTAAATCAATAAAAGGGGGATAGTGGAAAAA